AAATACAAATAATGAAAAAGAAGAATCGATCTAATGATTGAAGGAAAAAAAAAAATTACGGAAATTATCCAAGTCCCCGAGGACACCCGGGTCCCTTTCTCTGAATTCAAGTTGAACGCGATAATTTGGGTACTTTTTGAAAAAAAAACGAGGGAAAAAGAGAGAAAGGTTATCGACCGTTGAATCGACATTCGATCGATTTTGCACGTGCAGTTACTTTTTGATTACTTTATGAACGCGCATTCTTCGTATGGGGCTCCTTAAGTTGTCGGTAAAAGTACTGCGAGTGAGGGCGGTGAAGGGGGAAGGGATTGGGTTTGCAAAGAAGTGGGAAGAAGCGGGGGTCTGAGGCCCCTCGAATGGGGCCCCCCCTGTTTACCCCCCCTCAAGTGGCTCCCCGGTAGCGCCGTCGCGCACCTGCCGCTTATTCCCACGCCGAGACTCACGTTCGCCTCATCTTTCCTCTCTTCACTCCCCTCTCTCTTTTTCTCTCTTCTTCTCTTTCTTTCTCTTTCCCCCTTTTACCTCTCTTCTTCTTACACTGCTTTCTCTCTCTCTTTCTCTCTCTCCTCGTCCATCATTTTTGCCTCCTCTTCTTTCCCCTCCCCCACCTCCCTTTCCCTCAGACCCGTACAACGCGTGAGCGCACACGTGTGCCACGGGAGAGAATATCGTCGGACACTTGTTTATTTTCAGATATTTTTGGGATCTTACGTATATACCGATATATACCTTTCTCTCTTTCCCGTGTATAAAACCGACCCCTTTTTTTCTGGTCTCCCCTTATTTGAGTATTATATATATATTTACTGAGATAAAGCGGACAAGAGAGAGAGATACCACTCGATTTCTTTTTTTTTTTAAATGGTGGAAAGAAATCTAAAATGTATCGCAAACATTGATGTGGAAAATGAGATTTTTGAAATTGAAGAGGGTATTTGAAATTCTTTTTTTATTTATTTATTTTTTTGAGCGGGGGAGAATTTTTTTTTCCGCATGTGCTTGAGATGAAATTATTATTTTAGTTTTAATTGAAGAAGGGATAATTTATTTATAAAAAAATTCATTTATTATAATTTATTTAGAAATGTATTAATTATTATTTATATTATTATTAATATTATTATTATAACAATCAATTATAATTAAAACCCGTGCAGAAATTTTGCCTGGAGTCAGATCGGGGCCGGATCAAGCTGCCCTATTAGGGAATAAAACGTCGCGCCTGATGTGGCTCTGATTAGGAAATTCCACATTTTCTGATAGCCCTGAATTGACCCTGATCAGGTGTGGCGTTTCATTCCCTACTAGGGCCCTGATACACGGGAAATAGTAAATTTATTGTAAAAATAATAATTTATAATTTTTATTACAGTAAAAATGATTAATCAAGAAAAAAATGATTTGAAAATACAGTTTTGATTTATGGAAAAATATAAAATTTCGATAAAAAGCAATAATTTGACCGTAACACACTTGATGATCCATAATGAAAAATGAATGAGTCAGTTTATTATATATATATATATATATATATGCTACAGTGGGATAATTTGAAGGATTACGTGCTAGATGAAGAAAAAAAGTATAGTTTTCTTTTACGAAATATATATATTAATGCATTATGATCTATTCACGGTTCGGCTCCCATAAAATTTTTTCTAATCTCACCCGCTCCACCCATGTGATTTTCTACCTGATCACGTGCAATTGAGAAAATCCCTCCCAAAATGTCATTTAGATTCCTCAACATATATTGGACTTGACAGTGGTTGTAAAAATCTCAAGTAACCAAAGTCCATTGTTGATGAATACCAACCCCAGGACAAGTGGCATTGTATATTTTTATATGTGAAGGGGGGTCTCTCTCTCTCGCCCCCTTTTCGAGTTTCACAGGTGGACAAGTGTGTATATATATAGATATAGGCAAGTACAAACGAATGACGGACCAAAAAAGTTGTATATACTATGGGACGCCACATATTTAAAAAATTGATGGAAAAATGAGAACAAGAGAAAGAGAGAGAAGAATAAATATATGAGTAGGGGAATATTATATATAGAATCAAGAGAAATGGGGGTGATGCGGTATTTTATAGTGGACGCGCCCTGTTGCGTTAGAAAATTAGGATCCCTTTTTTTTCACGAGACGAAGGGATTTCAAAATCGAGGACACGCATTTTAAATCATTTCAGAATTGTATGTCCACTATATTCTGACCATAAAAAAGGGCCTATAGAGTGAAACAAGATTCCTTTTTAAATATCGTTAGAGACGTATAGCTTTCAGAATATATAGAAAAATTCAAATATCAAATCTTTTTATTATTCTAATTTCGACCCATTTTTACGATCGTGATTCAGATATATACTATAAATTGAAAGTGAAAAAATTATTCATTCATACCAAATTATTTATATAACCATCATCAGAGGATAAATAACAAGAAAGGGGGAAATTTTTTTTGATAATAAAAAAATAAAAAATGGAGGCGCTTCTCTCATATTTTGTATTAAAAAAATTGAAAAAACATGACATGTGCGGTGGTAATTATATATATAGAGAGAGAACAGAAAGTTATCATTTATAATGACCAAATGGTAAATTAGAGAATACAGAAGAAGAATGAGCAACGATCAACGCGAATATATGAAGAACTTCCTTTGAGAGATTGGTATCAATTTACCCCGAGGTCTCTCTTCGTCTCTTTCTATCTGGCAGGGCGTGTTTCTTCTTTAGTTGTCTCTATAAAGTCTTATCTCTCTGTTACATTCGCTCTATGTACAAGCAAACGCAGGAAGAGATAAGAAACAACGGGCACATACACACCCTTTTGTCCTTAGGGGGCTTTTGAGAATTGTGACAAGGATGAATTTCCCCGCCTTCTTGTCTTCATTGCGTTCTAATCGTTAATCAGGCGCGCTTCTAAATGCTATATATATTTGAGAGACAACATTTTTTCAGAGATTAAAATATGTTTCACAAAAATTATTTTTGATGATAATTAAAATCGTTCAACAAGTATATAGTTACTAATATTAGTTGAAATCGACACCATTTGTATAACTATCCTAATTTGTTACTATCAAAGGTTGCATAATTATCAAAATTTGTTATACAATCGTTAGTAATATCTAACGGTAGTAACAACTTATAGTATAATTATAAAAAATGTAAAACAAATTTTGGTGGTTACAATCAGTGCGGTAGTAAAAAATTATGGTAGTTACAATCAGTGGTAGTAACAATTAGTGGTAGTAACAATTAGTGATAGTAACAATTAGAGGAGTAACAATTAAAAGTAATAATTAGTAACAATTAGTAGTATAGTTACAATCAGTGGCAATAACAATTAGGGGAATAATAATTAGTGATAGTAACAATCAGTGGTAGTAAAAATTAGGGGAATAACAATTAGTAGTGGTAACAATTAGTGGTAGTAACAATCAGTGGTAGTAACAATTAGGGGAATAACAATTAGTAGTGGTAACAATAAGTGGTAGTAACAATTAGGGGAATGACAATTAGTGGCAGTAACAATCAGTGGTAGTAACAATTAGGGGAATGACAATTAGTGGCAGTAACAATTAGTGGTAGTAACAATTAGGGGAATAACAATTAGTGGTAGTAACAAACAGTGGTAGTAACAATCAGTGGTAGTAACAATTAGGGAAATAACAATTAGGGAAGTAACAATTAGGGGAATAACAATTAGTGGTATAGTAATAATCAGTGGTAGTAACAATCAGTGGTAGTAACAATTAGGGGAGTAACAATTAGTGGTAGTAACCATCAGTTGTAGTAACAAATCATGGTAGTTACAATTATTAGAAGTAAAAAAAATTTCAGTAATTGCAACAGTAACAGTTTCTAATGATAATGGTAATTCTAATGGTAATCATAAAAATATTTTTTTCATTTAAATCTAATCAACATTTTCTGAATAAATTGCTATTATCAGCATTTTTTTTCCTTTTCTTTGTAAAAAATACATTTTTTTAAGACGATAAAATCATTTATAAGCCTTTACAGCTTTTGGTTTAAAATTAAATGATATTTCTCCATATTGATGGCATACTTTTGGGTTTAATGGCAAAGGTATTATAGAGGCGATGATTTCCTTTTAGGTAGAATGAAGGTTGATTCTTGGATTGGTTAGTTTCATGAGTAACGAAAGAATTGTTGAGAATCAGGATTGGTTGATCAGAATCGAGTGAAGATTGCGTGCTATACTTTCACCACGCCTTTAAGGTTGTGGACTTGGTTTTCATTGGTAGAGAGGCACAGAGTGAACGTTTTGTGGGTACCCTTCAAGAGTTTCTCATGTTGCTGCTGTTTTTTTTCTTTCCAATTTTTTTTTTTTTTATTATTTATTATTTATACACACGTTCAGCAATTGTGTTCCCCTTCTTTCGTACGTCCTTTTTTTCAGCCACTCTCTGCGCATAAAGATTTTTGTTTCTTTTTATATATATACACGCAGAATCATCAAAAGCAGTTTTGACTCCTTGTACCGCTTTTTTTAATGGCTCCTTCTCTCTCTTTATCTCTCTTATTTGAACTTTTTCATTTTATACTCGTTTTCGTCTTTGGAGTTTTTTTTTCTCTTGTCTTTTTTGGTTTTCTTTTCTTTCCTCATTTTTTTTGTACTGGTTGCGTTTTTTTTCTGAGGTACTTGTTGTTTATGAGCCTTCACTTCTTGATATCCTTCTACTTGTTTTTCTTTTTTCCCTCAAGTTGCTTTTTTTTGTCTTCCATCTTTTACGATGAGAATTATTTTTTTTTTGAGAATATTTTTAAGTGTTGATTATTGCGTCCTTCGCTGATATATTTGGAGTTTGTATATATAAAAGCTTTTTTCGCCAGGGAAAAAAAAATCCATATTTTTTTAGATCATGTGATTTTTTATATTATTAAAAGAAATATATGTAAAATATGTTTAGACTTTTTGTTATGTGAACATGTTTTTTTTAAATGTATGTCGCATTTATTTTTTACAGAACTTTCCCTCGCAACGATATTACTTTACTTGAAAGAGAAAACGATCGCAAGCCGACTCTGTAATCTGGATTCAATCGACCTGCATTGGCCAAGACATTTATCTCGTGGATAAATGTACAGGTGAGTGATATTGTACATCTCATTAATCTTAACATCTAACATTGTTGAATGCCAGGTGCATTTTATATATATTTATGTATAGGACTGAAAAATTTGTGTAAACAAATAATAATCACAAATAACAATAATTATACATAAATATTGAACGAAAAAAGGTTTTTAAAACTAGGGAATAAAATGATCATTTTAAACCCTAGGGAGTAAATAATTTTATTTACCATAAGAGGATTATAATTATTATTCTTTTTATCTCTTTTGAAGTAGATTTTATAATATATTCACTATTCGGAAAATGTGAAATATACTTCCCACAATAAAATTATTGTCATTAGTCGCACCGTCGGAAATCCCCTTTTTATGATAATAATAAACGAATCGCATAGTAAAATAAAATATGCAAATACAATTTTATTTTTTAATAAAAGAAAAAAAGACCAGAAGTAGTAAATTATTTCTGAACAAAATGAGAATCGACTTTTCCGTCGCGAATCTTTCCCACTGAATATTTAATGACCTAAGCATATAGATAAACCGGAAATTAACTTTGACGGAAGTTACTCCCTTGATATGTGTTATATAGTTACAAACATTGATATACATTATATATATGTATGAAGGCCTATGTGATTTTTTTCCACTTGTGTGTTTAACAAGACACTCCCTTCAAACGGTCGTCTCCGGCTTTGAATACTTTATTTTACGCCTGTTGATCATTATCCATTATACATTCAGCGTGCACCTGCGTGCTACGCAAATCGTTTTGAGAGCACTTATTTTTTATTTATTAAATCTGAGATATCAAATTGTTATCTAAACTGCGCTTAATACTTGCAATTAATTATTTTATTTGTTGCAAAGTATTTTTATTAATATAGAAAAAAATTGTAATTCAATTTGAAATATTAATAATATTGATTGAAAAAAATATTTCGTTCATTTGAACGTTCAGAACTTTTGGCTCGCATGTAAAAGTAAAAAAAAATAGTAGTAAAAGTGAGTTTCAGTCAGACTGAAATGAAAAATTTTTTTGAAAGTAGTAAAAATAAGTTTTAGACAGACTGAAAGTTTCCTTATTTTTATTTTTATTTATTTAATTTTGTTAGTCTATAAATATAAAATAGTTGACTTAATGAATAGAAAAGCTTTCAACGTCGCGACTCTGCTACCAAGCCACTTCCACTTGTGTCATTGTTTCTTGTTCCCGGGATCCAAGATAGGTGGATCGTATCCACGTTTTGTTTCACTTTCAGTAGTAAAACTCTATCTACAACAGTGGATCGAATCAGACGCCGTTATATAAAGCTTCTTTATAAAATGAAATATCCCTAGTAGAAATTTGTCGTGGATGCACTAGATTGACTCAAGTTACTTGACAGTTTTTCTCGCGGACGCTGATTCTAGCTGAACTGATAAATAACTGTGAAGTTACTGATCAGTGCTTTTTGAAAGAAATTCAAGTTGAACTTGATAATTCCACGACTCAAAGCTATCCAGTTTTTTTAATGGCACTGTCCAGTGTTGCTCGAAATTAAATTCATATCCTTGTCATGGCGGTGGCGCTTCAATAAGTCTAGTAACTGGACAGCTATGCTAGGATTTTGTGTATTGACATTTCGCTTGCTTGATTTAAAAAAATTACAACTTGTTTATAAAAATTAATAATAATAATATTAATATTCCTTTCTCAAAAAAAGACAGTGCATACAAAACACATGAAAATGTATCGAAATATCTCGGTGGTCGAAAAAATTGAATTTAAGAAAAAATGAACTTTGCTTTCCAGAGCATCTAAATCAATATTCATTTTATGAAAATCACTGTAAATTAATGTTCCACATATATATTTTTTGCATAACTTATCTTATTGCAATAAATATACACTTGCAAAATATTATTTGTTGTAAATGTTTGCCAGCTGTCATGAATCAGAAACGAACATAACCTATATTTAGTTGAAATCACTTGATTGGCCCAAGACAAAATAGCGCGCGCTTTTTTAAAATAATAAAATTTATTAAATTATAATAAAATAATTGCAATAAATTAAATTATTATGAAAATAATATTACCTTGAATAAAAAGTGTTTTTAGTTTTTAAAAAAAAATGATTAAACAATTATTATTATTTTCAGACAAATTTTACAAATATAGTAGAATATTATTTTTCTGTTTGAGTATATTATAATAATATAATAATAATAATAATAATAATAATAATAATAATAATAATAATAATAATAATAATAATAATAATAATAATAATAATAATAATAATAATAATAATAATAATAATAATAATAATAATAATAATAATAATAATAATAATAATAATAATAATAATAATAATAATAATAATAATAATAATAATAATAATAATAATAATAATAATAATAATAATAATAATAATAATAATAATAATAATAATAATAATAATAATAATAATAATAATAATAATAATAATAATAATAATAATAATAATAATAATAATAATAATAATAATAATAATAATAATAATAATAATAATAATAATAATAATAATAATAATAATAATAATAATAATAATAATAATAATAATAATAATAATAATAATAATAATAATAATAATAATAATAATAATAATAATAATAATAATAATAATAATAATAATAATAATAATAATAATAATAATAATAATAATAATAATAATAATAATAATAATAATAATAATAATAATAATAATAATAATAATATTATATTATATCAATAATTATTAATTTATTAAAATAATTTTATTTATAAAATTTTACATATAATTTTTGAGGATAATAAATAAAAAAAATTAGTAATTAGTTTTTTATAATTGTCTAATGTTTAAATTAAATTATAAGTAAATCATTTAAAATCAAATAAACATCTAAAATGTTTATTTGCCTAGAAAATAATAAAAATAATATGCACAAATTCATAATATTATTAGGTACAGTGAAATACGTCAAGCATTTATTCTAATATCACTGATCAGAACGGCCGAGTTGCGTAAAGCGTGCGTTTCTTTCGTTCCCGCCCAGCGGACCCGTGTTCGCTCCCCGGTAGCCCCAAGATTTTTTCGTTGAAACTGCGAAAAGTGTTTTAAGGTTTATGTTATGACATTCATATTAATATAAAAATTATAATTGTTTCAGTGTTGTTAACAGTTCAGGTCAAGATGTTGCTTCAATCGTTTTACTTATGTAAATTTTTTTTTTAAATCCAGTTTAATTGTGAATGAAAAATTACATTTTTATAACGAATTACTATATTTAGTGCAATATATTTTCTTATAATAATTTTTGTTGATAATTGGAATATTTTTTTTAATTACATAAAATAAACGTGTTTACTACATTAAATCTTATTATTAAATGAATTTCGAAATATTTAAAAGAATTAATTTGACTAGTTTTTCAAAAGTCCTATTGATAAATAATTATCAAGTTGGGCTGGATAATAACTTGATGAAAAAAGCGTGACATGACATTCGAGTTTTTAGCTAGCTGGTCAGTCAAGTAACTAGACAGACTCCAGCGCGACTAGGCAGTTCCTTTAAAATAGCTAGGACAAATTTCTACTAGGGATATTTTTAATTATAATATCTATGACGATATCATTTTTTTTTATTATTTTATGATATAAAAGATGAAAAAAAATAGTTATTAAAAATTTATTCTTAATTATTTATTTCTTAATTTATTCTTATTAAATAGTTAATATTTGGAATTTCAAAAAAAATTAACGAACAATTGAAATAATAAATAAATAATTGAAAAAAAGATCATTTATATATTAAATATGTTTTAAATTACAATTTTTAATGTCAATTTTTTTTTTCTTTTGATACTATTTGAGTCACTTTGTTTTAACTGGTGTGAAAAGCTTCGAAAGCTTTCTAGAGTACATTTTGACTTGATTTTCTTTTATTATTATGTTACCCTAATACAAAGACACCGTCGGAAAGCTCTCTGCGTGTTCACATTAGGGCGAGATGTGAAAATAGAACTCACTGGAAGCTTTAACAGAAGTAAGCTTTTCAAACCATATACTTATATACTTTTTTTTATAGTTTTCTCTTTTTCAATTATTTTTATCATTGTCTCAGCTATTCGATTCCATTATTATAAAGCACTATAATTTTCTAATTATAAAATAATAATTTTAAATTAACAATTTCTTTTCAAATTAATAAAATTTTAGTATTATTAAATTTATTTCCAATTCCGCATAACCAAATAATTTATTCTAAAAATAATTTGGTTCGAGATACGATTATATTATATATTGAACTGAGCTCTCTAATAAAGATTTAATAAAATTTACTAATTAAAATTTATTTAGAAAGTTAATAAATTCGAAAAGAATAATTTTTCAAACATTTTCTATTTCGGTTTAAATCTGCAATGAGCGCAAACGCGAGGTACAATATAATAGTGTGCGTGCGGTTCGATACATATATATTTGGATTACCCATTGCGCAGCTGCTATTTTCAACCCTCGAGTTCCGTTAACGTGGGGGAGTTGGAAAAATCTATAATTATAGAACTATATATAGCGTCGCGGCGCTTTGCCACCAACTATTTGTAATGTTCGCCTGATATCAGGCTTCGTTATAACGACGCTTGACGTCGGTTCCGTCAAGACGCCGACGACGTCCAAGCATTTGTCGAATTCGTATGTGCAATAATATGCGATGTTTATATAACTTAATGTTTTCCTGATTCTCGAGGACGTGGAAGCGCGGCCTCCGTTCATCGGAAAATATTGTCGTCGCTTTTCAAGGCGTCGCGACGCCCAATTTTCAACCCCTTTTCAATTCATGTACTCCTGTATCCATGGTACGTCAGACGACGTCTTCCAATTGACGGGCAGCTCTGTCAGACGTCAAGTGAACACACAACAACGTGTGTATGCCACCATTTTCAATCTCATGGCGCCCGGGTTTGGCGTCGCGACGCTAGGGCGCCGCGATTCACTTGGCGAGAGACGCTTTTCCTTCTATATATATATATGTATATAGCAACCGAAATCCAATAATATTCTATAGCATATACGCAATATCGTGTATAAACTGGATTTTCCGGTTCTATTTATTATTTTATCATTTTGACCTAGAGAGCTGAAATTTGGTACAAATGTGTATTTTTGTGTGTAGATTAGACGGAAAATAGAATAAAGCTAATTAAAATTTATTTTTAAACAAATTTTAATCGAAAAATTTCCAAAAAAAAATTCGAGTTAATAATTTATTTAAAATCTACTTATTTTTAAATGTCAATTACTAAAAAAACTTTGCTAATTAATTTTAAATGGATTTTTATCATTTTTTCCAAAAATTAAAATTGAAATTTTTTAAATCTAAATAATAGTTTTGTTTTATTTAATATTGTTACTCAATTTTCGGTGAAATCTAATCTCTATTTGTTTTTCTATTTCCTTTACAACGAACGGTTTAAAATGTTCTATTAGCATTGAAAATACTTTTATGTTATTCTAAATATTTTTAATAATTTGATAAGAGTGCTATAAAATTTGACTCGTGTAAAGAGTAATAATTTAAAAATCACGATTACTACATCAAATAATATGAAACTTCTCATTGAATAACAGAATGTACCTACAATAAAAAATAAAGTTATCAAAATTCATAAAAATGCTATCTTTATAGTTTTTTTTTCTATATAAAAAGAGAGTTGAAAGTTTTCAACCGTCAGTATTAAATTTAAAAAATCTGCAGTTTCTAAAGTTATTTAAAATTTAATTTTAAAAATATTTAAAATTACAATTTTCAAAATGAAATATTTTATTTTCATTTTTTTTGTTTGTGCCATTCAAGTAAGTTTATTGTATTTATTTTTTAAAAAAGCATACTTTTTTTAAAGTTAATTTAATTAATTATTTCTTATATTTATTTTTTTTATATAAAATTTATCACTGTGAAACGAGAGTTATTAATTTAATACCAACTTTAGGTACTAAATTGCCTTTTGGTTCTATTTTGATACCTAAAATCGGTACTATTTTAGTACCTTCTTTTTACAGTGATTAGACAAATTTATTAATAACATAATTATTAATTACTTATCTTCTGATTAAAGTTTGCATTAGGAAAAAATCAATATAAAACAGACGATAATGAAGATATAAGAATAATACAGCTCAATGTTAATGAATCAGTTTCCGAATTTGAGACATTTTTTTTTAATGATATACTAGGAAATTTTAAAAAAATTAATGGAAACACAAATGTATCTATTGACAAACTAATTGAAGACATAAATAGAATTTCGCTAGAAAAAAAGGTAAATATATGAATCTCTTTCGTTTAACAGGATTATTTTCGATTTGATAAATTAAATATTTAAAAAAAAATTAAACCTTTCTGATTTTATTTGATAAATTATTAATTTTTCATATTTATAATATTAGGTAGAAGAAGTAAATGAAACTATTTGTTATAAAACTGCAAAAGAAAATTTTGAAGACCTTCAAAAAAACTCAACGAATAATATTATTCAAATTCGAAATGATAAATTAATCTTTCCATTTTTTCCATTTTATAAATTTAAATACATAATTGATCAGGTATGTAAAAAAAATTTGCAAATGTAATATTTTAATCTATTTAGAATGTAGATTTAATATAAATAAAAAAATAATTTGTTAATTTGAGTACTTTTACAATTTTTTTATAGATGGCTATAGATCTTGTTCAAAATTTAAATGGAATTTTGGATTCCTGTGATAGATTTGAGGATAAAACAAAATGCATTTTAAATAGTAAAAAAGGAAGTCTAATACTTGTTGTGAATCTTCAAAGATCTATTACTCAAATAAAAAAAATAATAAATGATTTTTCACGCTCTCTACTGCCTGATGCTCAAATGGAAATTTCTCAAGAAATTCGCATAATGGAAAATAAATATAAATTAATTATTAAAGAATTTCAAGATTGCTTTTTAAAATTGAAATAGTTTTTTTGTTTTACAATTCATTAGTCGAAATAGTATTTACTTTTTTGTAAATAAAGGTTATTGAATAATAATAAAAAATTGTTTGACAAAATTTCTATTTATTATTTTATTAAATTCTATTTATCATATAAATAAAAAAAAAACTTATGAAACAATTAAAAAAATGAAGTACAACCGTCAGCATTATTTTTAATTGATTGAGTTTTATCTTTTAGTGTCTTAATTTCATTGGAAGTGCATTCTTGAATTTTTGACAGCATCAAAGTATAAGCTTCATTAGCTAATGTTGTTAATTGTTGAATAGAATTTTTAAAATTATTGACAAGTATATCAACTCCAATTTTAGCATTCGTTTGGCATATTTTTTCATCTTCTAAATGCCTACAGCCCTCCATAACAAGTTCTAAATTTTCAACTAAATCGTAACCCGTCTAGAAAAAATAATATTTAATTTCATTTTAATTATTATCTATTTAATATTAATTAATAATTAATCATTGTTTATTTAATGAGACTGATTAATTATTTTTATACATTACCTTAGCAGTAAAATTCATATTTATAGAAATTGGAGAGAAACCATAATATAATTGATTAAATTGACATTGTCGAACTTCGTTAGTCGTATTTTTAAGAATTTGATCTAAATTTTCCTTTGCAATTTTGTAACAAACATTTTCCTCCTTTTGTACATCATTCAATACATCAATCTAATTTTATAAAATAGGAATTGAATTACTATTCAACAAATTAAGTTTTATTAAAAAAAACAATTACCTCAATATCTTGTAAAATATTATTTTTTAATGTTTTAAATTGTTCTGGAACATGTGTTTCTTCTTGCTCGAAATGTTCTTTTAAATTTTCCTTTACACGAGTTGAAAACTCTTGAAAATCATCAGTTATTTTTTTAACATTCAGCTGCAATTCTTTTATAACATTTAACTCATCACTTTGAGCATATCCAAATGATATCTTTAATAAAAAAAACATTTTACAATAAAAAATAAATATATAAGGTTTTTATTTTAAATTTATAATATAATAATTTATAAAATTTATAATTATAATAAATAATTAAATTATAAATAATATTGATAAATAATAATGAAAAATTAATTTTAAAATTATTAATTACTTAAATTAGTAATAAATATCTAAATTAAATAAACTTACTTGAATGGAACAAAGAAGAAAAGCAAAGATAAAATATTTCATTTTAGAAAAATTTTGATTTTTTTCCCGGTAAATTGTCAGCTTCAAAATTTAATACTGTGTTTGAAAAAAGATTAGTACTCTCGTTTTATATAGGAGAAAATAATTGTGAAGAATGATAAAAAAAAATTCTATAAATCATAAATCCTATTAGTTATATATCTATTAGTTAAAATGAATTTATTTAATAAAAAAGACTTCATTATTTTAATTAAAAAAGTAAATTATCACTTTAATGTAAATAAAATGCTAATAAATTATTGTGAACATATAAAATATGTGACAATTTGTTTAAATTAATTTCAATGATAAAAGAACATTTTTATTCATTATTTGTAAAGAAAAATGTCTATTACTGAACACAAATAATTCAAACAAAATATATTGTTGAGAACAATTTTTTAAGAGAAAAAGAATAATTGAAAAACTGTTTTTACGACATAATTTTTTAAATTAAAAAAAAATTTTCTAATAAAAAAGTTAAAAAATCAAAAAAAAGATTCATAAAATAAAAAAAGATATTTAAATTTATAAAAGGCTTTCTTTAATGTAATTTTTCACTAATAATAATTTTCGTTGATGAAATTACAAATAAAAAAAAAATTTCTACCTCGATTTTCAAATGTTCGTATCAGTGAAATAATAGAATTTTAATTTTTTGATATATGCAAAACAAATACGTAATATATTATTAATTTATTTGAATAAAATGTCATACATTTGTAGTTTTATTTATTATTGAAATTTGACAAGTTTTAAATTTAAAATTAATGAAAAATATAAAATTTCTGTATGTGAATTATTTTATATAAAGTTAAATATTAAAAGCCATATTTTTTGTAATACAATGATTAAAATCTTCTTTAATTCTCTTCAATTCTTTATGAAATAAATCATTTAAAGAGTGACCACAATTTTTTACATTAAAAATTGCTTTTTCTTTCAAATCAATAACCATATTTTTTATATCTTTAATAAGATTTTTTATACCATTTGATAAAATTTCAATTCCAGATAAAGTGCTTGTTAAATACATCATTTCTAGTGATGAATTTTCAATACCTAAAATACGTTCTTCATTCATTGAATCAATCCTCTTTACTAGACTATTACACATCTATTAAAGAAAAAATTAATTAAGTAAAATAAATTAAAAAATCTAAAATTGTCAGTAATTAAAAAATTTCTATTATTAAAAATAAATTTGATTTACTTTTAACTGATAAATAAATAATTATACTAAAATTACCTGTATAGTGAAATTTACTTGAGTCATGACTGGTTCGAAATAAAGAAAAAATGATTTAAATTCGTAAACTTCCAATCGATCGGTTATATTTTTGTGAATTTCGTCCACATCTTGTTGAACAATTTTATAACAACTCTCTGAATTTTCATTCTTTGTGTTCAATTTTTTATATTCTGTCTACAAAAAGAAATTTTTTTTTTAAATAAACTTTTGACAAAAAAAATTATATTTTTTTTGTGACTTACTTCCAATTCGGAATAAATAATTTCTTTCATATCACGAAAATTTCTCGTCAAATTCAATCCATATTCTCCCAAGAATTGATCTATTTTTTGAAATTCACTAATTTCAAAATATTTTAATTCTCTTATTGCATTTGTTGTCTCGCATTTTAAAATTTCTAATCTTGATAGAATATCATTTCTGTTATTTTCTTCAGCAAAAGACACCTGAAATTTTTTTTTGTAATTTAAAAAAAAAATAATTTTAATTCTTAGGTTTAAAATTAAAAAATAATCAAAATATTTTATTTATATTTTTTTAAAAAAAGGTTTTAATTCCTATATTAACAAAAAAAATTGTTTACTCACTTGAAAAAAAGAGCTGATGAGAAATATAAATAAAAAAACTATTTTCATTTTGAAAATGTATAGTTTTTTAGTTAAAGATAGTAATTATGAATTAAAAGTAACATAAACCACTTGTATATATACCAATATATATATATATATATAGTTAATTATGTAAATTCAATTATGGAAACATAATAAAATTTTTTTCCTAACAATATAATAATTTTGATTTGGAAATCTTTGGAAATAAAAGATCTTTTATTCTTTTCACAAGATTTTTATTCATTAAAATATTCACACGTAGGTACTTTAAAAAAGATATTCTTTTTTATTCATCGCGAAGATACATAAAATAACAATTATTTTTACAAGAAAAAATATTCGATTTGACAATTTCATTTTTTGAAATAACATTTCACAAAATTTCTTTTTGAGTAACGAATTTTTAGTTTTTATTATGTTTTTTTAAATGTATGTAACAAAAATATATATAATTTAACAACAAATTTTTATCATTTTTATTTTTTGTTATCTTTGCTCAAAAAAGAAAATTATACACAAAAAAACAAAACGTGGTTCACTCATGACTACACTCCTCTATTATTTTTATTATTTTTAATATGAGAAAAACAATCGTCTAATTGTTGTATGCTTTCCAGACATTGTTTGTTTAAATTATTCTTTGCATCAGAAGCACAATGTTGAGTTTCTCTTAAAACACTTTGTTTTGTATTCATTAGCAATTTTATCAAATTATTTGAAAGACTTTTAAGGCCATTAACTAGAATACTTAATTCAGAACTTTTTAGTTTCATGTAATGTTCATTTGTTAAAATTTCACTGTAATTCTTTTTTTCATAATTTGCAAATATTTTCTCTTTTACTCCTGATTCTAAATTATTGAGAGTCTGCAAAAAGAAGAAATAAAAATTTTTCAATAATTATATTAAAAAATAAAATATTAGAAATAGAAAAAACATTTTATGATAAATTTTATAGAAAACAATATTTACATTAGTAAAAAATTCACAATATGATTGAATTGGAATCATATAATATTCAATTTCATTATTTGTTGCACATTCTCTTAATTTTCCAATAATTTGAATGTAACGTGTTGACCATGTTATTGATCTATTTGCAAAACATGATTTTAAAGGTTCTTCCACATCCTCCATATTCTTAATGCCATATTGAATCTAGAAAGAATTTTTTTTTTCTCTATAAAACTTAAAAATCTTAAATTGTCAAAAAATTTTAAATAAACAATATAAATACCTTTAATTGTGTTACTTTTGAATGTGTCATATTTTTAAAAGTAGACAACAATTTTCTTTCCATTGATTCATAATTTTCAGCTAACAACAAAAATATAGATTCTTTATATTGTTGAACTGTTTGATTTATTGTTTCTACATCGTATTTTAAATTGTTTAAATTATATTCAATATCATCATTGGCGTTTGATGATACAAATATCTGAAAAATTAAATTAAATTTTTTTCAATCATTTTAAATTTAAAAAGAATAATTTGCAAAAAGATTATTTTATTTTGCACTGTTTTTTTTTTTTTTTTTTTGAGTAAATTGTATGTGAATTAGTATAAAATTTAATTGTAATAAATAGAATTACCTGATAAGAACAGAATACAAAGACCATTGAACTTATTAAATTCATTGTCACACGTGGAATATGAAATCTTTAAAAGAAATATAAAAACTATTTTATTATCTCTTGAAATTAGGCTTTATATATTGTGAAATTTTTATAAATGTATGTATATATTTATATTTACTCTCCCTGCCATTTTATAAATGTGTATAAATTAGTTTGTCTTCTGATAACCAAATTAAATATATCAATAAATCGAACGATGAATTTTTAATTTTTATTCAATTATTTAATTTTAAAAAAGAGCTAAGTTTTTTTTTTTTAATTTTTAATTTTGCTTATTTTAATACAAAAATGGATTAAAATAAGCAAAATTGGATTAAAATAATAAGCGTTGCAGCTTATTTTAATGCCTTTTAATTTTCTGTGTTTATTTTTCATTTCGAATAAATTGTAAAAATTATTATACAATTTTTACGGTAATTACAATCCCCCAAAAAATATCGTTATTTAATGCTTAAAAATACTACAAGTATTAATAAATTGAAAATAAAAACAATAAAAGAAAGTAATAAACAATAAAAAAAATCACTGGCAATCGAGGAAGAAAATAATGTGTCCTTTAAGTAGTAAAAGTCAGAGTTTGATCAGACTAGGAGAGAGAGAGAGAGCTTTCGCTATTTCGTTACGTCGCCACTTGGCGTCGCGACTGTATGTTACGTCTCTTATCAGTTTCTGATTTCCGGATAATGTAACCCGTTGCGACCGAGCCGCGACAAGCATTTGAGCGACAGGTGGGCAGTACTCGTCGAAATGATCATTTTGCGCGCTTCGGTCGTCGTTCCCTTAATTCGCCATTTGTTGTTGATATGCTTCTGTGTCAATTGGTCAAGCATTGTATATATGTGTCTTGTCTCAAATACAATGGAGGGAGCGTCGCGACGCCTCCGTCGTCGTCACACCTGTGTGAATATGGACTTTCAGGTCGAGAGACGCACAGGCGCCACACCAGGCGCCTATCAAGAGCTGTTGGGCGTCGCGACGCCCCAAGGCACTATATACATATATATACAAGTCAAGTGAATTTTATCTCTGTATTTCTTTCACGATTTTTTTTTTTTAATTTTTACTGTTACAAAAATTTATTATTTTTATTTTATTGTTCTTCTATAAAAAGTTTATTTAATTGTTGTTAATTTTTTTGACTAAATCATGGTAGAATTTAATTAAATGATAATTATTATTTAATTTAGGCGTATTAAAAAAAATCCAAAATAGAAAATTAAAAATTAAAAAATAGGAAATAAAATCTAGTATCGACAAATGAAAAAAGTTAATCCTTATCACAGAAAGCAGGGTTTTAATATCTCTTTTAAAAATTTTTCCAAAATATTAAATGAAAAATAGAAAATAAAATTGAAAAAGTAGATAATAAAAAATTGAAAATAAAAAACTAATTTTTATTGTATTCGAATATGCGATGAATTCAAAAAAAAACGCACATGTCTGTTTCATTCTCGACAGAAAATAAAAAAAACGAGAATAACATTATAATTTATATGTCACAAATAAGCACTGATCATAAAAATACATTTTTTTCTTTTGCTATTATTACTCTTTTTTTTTTATTGTAAAAAAAATATATATATACCCCCGAGTCAAAAATGGTTGGTAAACCCATAAATTTAATTCTCGTGCTCACTCTGTTTCCTGAGAGCACCTGCATCTGTCCTTGAATCGGTTTGTATCTCGTTTTGTCTTTTCTTGTACACGTGCACAATAAAAATAAAAGTAAGAAAAGAGAGAGAGAGAGAGAAACCTCGTGAGCGAATTGGTTGGAAGAGAATATTGCCGAGGGAGACACAACAAGGTTTCTTTCGCAAAACCTGTCATGATTTGCGAGAGAGCATGTCGCAATAAGGCCATTCAATCTCAACAAAAGAGAATATATCCCTTCGAGATAAAAAAAAAAAAAAGAAAAAAAAACACGCAGCTGCATTTTTGTGGGTCAAAAACACCCCCCCTCGAGGGTGGATATAGAATATTCTTATATGTCATGTCATACAAAGTGTTGTTGTAATTATAGGGGCGTCGGCCGGTGAGCGTCGCGACGCTGTATCAGGAAACTATAAAATATAACATGCGTTTATACTGCTCCAATAATAAAATATGATGAAAAAAAATTGCGAGAGAAAGAGAGAGAGAAGAGAAAAATATTGCCACGATATATCAATTATTAAATGAAGTGAAGCTAGCAGTCAAGTTCAGCAGCGTCCCATAGGCGTATCACACGAAATTCGAGAAATATGCCCCGCTATCCATTATTGTCAGTAAAAAGCATTTTCGCACAAAAATTACAAAAATTAACACAAAAAACAAACAACAAATGAAAACTACAAACACCAAGACATAATAATTATTATTATAAATAAATAAATAAAGAAATACATATAAAGTGAAATATTGAGTTCCTCGAGAAAATCGAGTGTAGAAAAAATTCTAGGGAGTTAGCAAACGATGGGAATCCAATCGTTACATTCTAGAGATGATTAGGAGTTATAAAAAAAATAATAACAATTTTTATTGTTATAAACAATAGCCAGCAGCCGGGCAATTATTGGATTTTGACATTTTTTGAGAAAATCGAAAGTAGAAAAAAAACTAGGGTGTTAGGAAACGATGGGAATCCCATCGTTACATTCTAGAGATGATAAGGTGTTATGAAAAAAATAATAACAATTTTTATTCTTATAAACAATAGCCAGCAGCCGGTCAATTATTGGATTTTGACATTTTTCGAGAAAATTGAGAGTAGAGAAAAATCTAGGGTGTTAGGAAACGATGGGAATCCCATCGTTACATTCTAGAGATGATAAAGTGTTATGAAAAAAATAATAACAATTTTTATTGTTATAAACAATAGCCAGCAGCCGGGCAATTATTGAATTTTTGACATTTTTTGAGAAAATCGAGTGTAGAAAAAAATCTAGGGTGTTAGGAAACGATGGGAATCCTATAGTTACATTCTAGAGACGATAAGGTGTTATGAAAAAAATAATAACAATTTTTATTGTTATAAACAATAGCCAGCAGCCGGGCAATTATTAAATTTTGACAATTTTCGAGAAAATTGAGAGTAGAGAAAAATCTAGGGTGTTAGGAAACGATGGGAATCCTATAGTTACATTCTAGAGATGATAAAGTGTTATGAAAAAAATAATAACAATTTTTATTGTTATAAACAATAGCCAGCAGCCGGGCAATTATTGAATTTTTGACATTTTTTGAGAAAATCGAGTGTAGAAAAAAATCTAGGGTGTTAGGAAACGATGGGAATCCTATAGTTACATTCTAGAGATGATAAGGTGTTAAGAAAAAAATAATAACAATTTTTATTGTTATAAACAATAGGCAGCAGCCGGGCAATTATTGGATTTTGACATTTTTTGAGAAAATCGAAAGTAGAAAAAAATCTAGGGTGTTAGGAAACAATGGGAATCTCATCGTTACATTCTAGAGATGATTAGGTGTTATAAAAAAAATAATAACAATTTTTATTGTTATAAACAATAGCCAGCAGCCGGGCAATTATTAAATTTTGACAATTTTTGAGAAAATCGAGAATAGAAAAAAATCTAAGGTGTTAGGAGACGATGGGAATCCTATAGTTACATTCTAGAGATGATAAGGTGTTATAAAAAAATTAATAACAATTTTTATTGTTATAAACAATAGCCAGCAGCCGGGCAATTATTGAATTTTTGACATTTTTCGAGAAAATCGAGTGTAGAAAAAAATCTAGGGTGTTAGGAAACGATGGGAATCCCATCGTTACATTCTAGAGATGATTAGGTGTTATAAAAAAAATAATAACAATTTTTATTGTTATAAACAATAGCCAGCAGCCGGGCAATTATTAAATTTTGACAATTTTTGAGAAAATCGAGTGTAGAAAAAAATCTAGTGTGTTAGGAAACGATGGGAATCCCATCGTTACATTCTAGAGATGATAAGGTGTTATGAAAAAAATAATAACAATTTTTATTTTTATAAACAATAGCCAGCAGCTATTTTTTTTTATAACACCTAATCATCTCTAGAATGTAACGATGGGATTCCCATCGTTTCCTAACACCCTAGATTTTTCTCTACTCTCAATTTTCTCAAAAAATGTCAAAATTCAATAATTGCCCGGCTGCTGGCTATTGTTTATAAGAATAAAAATTGTTATTATTTTTTTCATAACACCTTATCATCTCTAGAATGTAACGATGGGATTCCCATCGTTTCCTAATACACTAGATTTTTTTCTACACTCGATTTTCTCAAAAATTGTCAAAATTTAATAATTGCCCGGCTGCTGGCTATTGTTTATAACAATAAAAATTGTTATTATTTTTTTTATAACACCTAATCATCTCTAGAATGTAACGATGGGATTCCCATCGTTTCCTAACACCCTAGATTTTTCTCTACTCTCAATTTTCTCGAAAAATGTCAAAATCCAATAATTGCCCGGCTGCTGGCTATTGTTTATAAAAATAAAAATTGTTATTATTTTTTTCATAACACCTTATCATCTCTAGAATGTAACGATGGGATTCCCATCGTTTCCTAACACACTATATTTTTTTCTACACTCGATTTTCTCAAAAATTGTCAAAATTTAATAATTGCCCGGCTGCTGGCTATTGTTTATAACAATAAAAATTGTTATTATTTTTTTTATAACACCTAATCATCTCTAGAATGTAACGATGAGATTCCCATTGTTTCCTAACACCCTAAATTTTTTTCTACTTTCGATTTTCTCAAAAAATGTCAAAATCCAATAATTGCCCGGCTGCTGGCTATTGTTTATAACAATAAAAATTGTTATTATTTTTTTCTTAACACCTTATCATCTCTAGAATGTAACTATAGGATTCACATCGTTTCCTAACACCCTAGATTTTTTTCTACACTCGATTTTCTCAAAAAATGTCAAAAAATCAATAATTGCCCGGCTGCTGGCTATTGTTTATAACAATAAAAATTGTTATTATTTTTTTCTTAACACCTTATCATCTCTAGAATGTAACTATAGGATTCCCATCGTTTCCTAACACCTTAGATTTTTTTCTATTCTCGATT